GGACGAAACAGTGCCCGTATCCACAAGGAACCATAACACCAGTGTACACTTTTTTAACGAAACCCATCACCACCCCTTGTTGTTGAGCAAACACTCCTGAGGCTGGAACCACCCAAGCTACCAGCGACAACCCTGCGCCCGTCATTTCCAAGTTAGAGAACCAGCCGGCCGTCATGACGAAGTAATCTTTCCCTGAATATATGATCGATTACCCCCATTCTGAAAGGATCGCTGCTCGCTATTAACGCTATGAGAAGATAATCGATTCAGACGAGCAGTAGAATCCGCTAGCTTAACATTATCACACTGCGGTTATAAAACCTTCATCAGCGTATGACACAAACGTACATACAATCACCTATCTGTATGTAAACTGAGGTCTGTCACAGAATTATCCATAATACGTAGAACAGTGGAAACTGAGTCAGTTGTGATGCAGGAAGAGGAAGAAGAAGATGAGAAATATTGTCAGTGGTCGTAAGTCGAATATTTTTAGATAAACTGTGTTGGAGCCCATTTACTTTCTCAGTCTCTTTTCGTATAGGAATAGTTTCACTGCTGAAATCGTCATCAGCGATATCACCATGGACTGTAACTTGTGCTTATCCTCAGGCATGAAAATACTTTTGCTGTTATTTGCACACTGTTTTATAACAACGCTGACTGTCAACTTGGATGGGTCGCCGGGATCGTACATCATGTACCCGGCTTGGGATGTATGTTTTAACGATTCTATTTCATTTGAATTTAAAACGAAGAACGCCCATTCGTTGCTTTTGTACGTGGAGAGGGGAGAGAACTTCCAAGAGCTCAAGTTATACAAAGGAAGTGCCAGGCTTCGGGTCAGCACAAGGGAGGGAACTTTCATCGTTCGGGCAGGTAATCGTGTTTATTTCTTTCTATGGATTCTGTCTTTCATAACACATAATGCCGTCTATTTTGATTATTAAATTATTTTTAGTGTTTTGTTTTTCTGTTTCTGCATCCAATGGTCATTTTAAGCTATCTGTCTTTCCTGTTAAATCGTGGTGTCTGGACGTAGACATCAAGTAAGATAAACCTGACGAGATTCAAAGACATTTGAAGAATATCTGGACAACTCGACTATACCCGCACATGAAGGCAGGTTAAATAACTGTACCGTCATAGACGCCCTGATTATAACTTGAGAACCCCTGTGGTGTAGCGACGGGTCGCTCGCCTGTGGATCGGAAGGTCGTGGGTTCAAATCCTGACGGAGTCGGACATTTTCAGAAATGAATGATGCTGATCATATCACCCGCAAAGAGCCGATTGGTCTATAAAAGATCGATCTAGCCATATGTGCCCAATATGCCTGAATGGGTAGAAAAGGGTCATTTACTTTTAATTATAACTTCTTAAGAAGCGTTGAATAGGGTATCTGGGATCTTCCCTCATGGCTTGTCATAGAGACTGGGGTTTCTCACACAGACTAAGGCTTCTCACACAGACTGAGGTTTCTCACACAGACTAAGGTTTCTCACACAGACTGAGGTTTCTCACACAGACTAAGGTTTCTCACACAGACTGAGGTTTCTCACACAGACTGAGGTTTCTCCCACAGACTAAGGTTTCTCACACAGACTGAGATTTGTCACATAGACTAAGATTTATCACAAATACTGAGATTTGTCACAAAGACTAAGTTTTATCACAGACTGAGATTTATCACACAGACTGGGGTTTCTCACAAAGATTGAGGTTTGTCACACATACTGAGTTTTGTCACACAAACTGAGATTTGTCACACAAACAGATTTGTCACACATAATGAGGTTTGTCACACAGACTGAGATTTGTCACAAAGACTGAAATTTATCACACATACTGAGTTTTGTCACACAGACTGAGATTTGTCACACAAACAGATTTGTCACACATAATGAGGTTTGTCACACAGACTGAGATTTGTCACACAAACAGATTTGTCACACATAATGAGGTTTGTCACACACACTGAGATTTGTCACACAGACTGAGATTTGTCACACAAACAGATTTGTCACACACACTGAGATTTGTCACACAGACTGAGATTTGTCACACAGACTGGGGTTTCTCACACATACTGAGATTTGTCACACAGACTGAGTTTTCTCACACAGACTGAGTTTTCTCACACAGACTGAGTTTTCTCACACAGACTGAGGTTTGTCACACAGACTGAGTTTTGTCACACAGACTGAGATTTGTCACAAAGACTGAGATTTGTCACACAAACTGGGGTTTCTCACAAAGACTGAGATTTGTCACACAAACTGGGGTTTCTCACAAATACTGAGATTTGTCACACAGACTGAGATTTGTCACACAGACTGAGGTTTGTCACACAGACTGAGGTTTGTCACACATACTGAGGTTTGTCACACAGACTGAGATTTGTCACACATACTGAGGTTTGTCACACAGACTGAGGTTTGTCACACAGACTGAGGTTTGTCACACAGACTGAGGTTTGTCACACAGACTGAGGTTTGTCACACAGACTGAGGTTTGTCACACAGACTGAGATTTGTCACACAGACTGAGATTTGTCACACAGACTGAGTTTTGTGTTTCCCATGCGGCAACCCCCCCCCCTTCCCCCCCCCCCCCCCGATAGCAGCCGAGGGGGACGGTCACCGGTATCCACACGACCAGGAAGATGACAGTAAATCAGGTGTAAAGTGGGCAGAAATGGGCGAAGACTCGCCAGGCGGGCACTGAAATAGGAAACAGGTGGATTAGGAAACAGATGAATTCAGGAAACAAATGGATTAAGGAAACAGATGCATTTAGGGACAAAATGGATTAAAGAAACAGGTGGATTAAAGAAACAGATGGATTTAGGAAACAGATGGATTTAGGAAACATATGCATCTAGGAAACAGATGGATTAAAGAAACAAAGGGATTAAAGAAACAGATGGATTCAGGAAACAGATGGATTTAGGAAACAGATGGATTTAGGAAACATATAGATTTATGAAACAGATGGATTTAGGAAACAGGTGGATTAAAGAAACAGATGGATTAAAGAAACAGATGGATTTAGTAAACAGATGGATTTAGGAAACAGATGGATTTAGGAAACAGATGGATTAAAGAAACAGATGGATTTAGGAAACAGATGGATTTAGGAAACAGATGGATTTAGGAAACAGATGGATTTCGTAAACACATGGATTCTGGAAACGATAAAGTTTCAAGAGGATTCCAGTGAAGAGTTTTGATGAGAGATGTTCAATGTGCTGGGCTGAATTCCGTCCATGATAGGCCAAATATTGCACAAGTCAGTTCTGTGGACCCACTGTAGGGAAAACAAGAGTAAATCCACTGCCTCCTCAACAAGCATGTCGTAAGAGTCGACTAAGTGGGGGTTTCTTCGAATTCAGAGAACATTTGCCTGACATGCAAGGAATCAACAGTCTGCATACAGATTAGCCATATTTGTAAAACGGATGGGCATGCAACAATCAAGTTCTGGAACAGAACTATGGGACTAAAGTCCAGAAGCGGACAAACAACCAGAACTTTCCGCCGGAGTTTACAGCCGGTGAACGCGATGAAGGATGATGAAGAAGAAGAAGAAGAAGAAGAAGAAGAAGAAGAAGAAGAAGAAGAAGAAGAAGAAGAAGAAGAAGAAGAAGAAGAAGAAGAAGAAGAAGAAGAAGAAGAAGAAGAAGAAGAAAAAGAAGAGAAAAGAAGAAAAAAAAAGAAGAAGAAGAGAAGAAGAAGAAGAGAAGAGAAGAAGGAGGAGGAGCAGAAGAAGAAGAAAAAGAAGAAGAAGAAGTAGAAGAAGAAGAAGAAGAAGAAAAAGAAGAAGAAGAAGAAGAAGAAGAAGAAGAAGAAGAAGAAGAAGAAGAAGAAGAAGAAGAAGAAGAAGAAGAAGAAGAAGAAGAAAAAGAAGAAGAAGAAGAAGAAGAAGAAGAAGAAGAAGAAGAAGAAGAAGAAGAAGAAGAAGAAGAAGCAGAAGAAGAAGAAGAAGAAGAAGAAGAAGAAGAAGAAGAAGAAGAAGAAGAAGAAGAAGAAGAAGAAGAGAAGGAGGAGAAGGAGCAGAAGAAGAAGAAAAAAAGAAGAAGAAGAAGAAGAAGAAGAAGAAGAAGAAGAAGAAGAAGAAGAAGAAGAAGAAGAAGAAGAAGAAGAAGAAGAAGAAGAAGAAGAAGAAGAAGAAGAGGAAGGAGGAGGAGGAGAAGAAGAAGAAATAAGAAGAAGCGCAGAAGAAGAAGAAGAAGAAGAAGAAGAAGAAGAAGAAGAAGAAGAAGAAGAAGAAGAAGAAGAAGAAGAAGAAGAAGAAGAAGAAGAAGAAGAAGAAGAAGAAGAAGAAGAAGAAGAAGAAGAAGAGGAGGAGGAGCAGAAGAAAAAGAATAAATAAGAAGTGCAGAAGAAGAAGAAGAAGAAGAAGAAGAAGAAGAAGAAGAAGAAGAAGAAGAAGAAGAAGAAGAAGAAGAAGAAGAAGAAGAAGAAGAAGAAGGAGAAGGAGAAGAAGAAATAAGAAGAAGCGCAGAAGAAGAAGAAGAAAAAGAATGGCATACAAGAATAGTCTGCGAGCGCCGTGTAACTTGAAAATGGCAGGACTGGTTGAGATGATGATGATGACGATGTACAAGTACCTTGGGTTTGCTTCACTGTGATATGAAGACGGTGTGCGCTAGGGCGTGCGCGCACACATACACACCAACAGATAACCCTATTTACCTCTACTGTACTGGTCAAAGGTTAAAGCGAATCTGAAGTGAGATGTTCTACTGACATATAGGAGGACAGGAAACACACCAAAACTACGTTTACACACATACATACACGCGCGCGCGCATACACAAACACCGGCACCAACCAGGCTAAATTAACAATTGTCGCCACCCTTTCTCCACCACAGGCGAGGCATTGAACGACAACACCTGGCACACTGTCCTGGTCAACCAGGTTGGGTCGCTAATGTCCCTAAAAGTTGACAGTCTTGAGTATACCCGCCACTTCTCTGAAGCCCTACAGCGCCACGGAGCTTCCCTCAGCAACCAGACGTTGATCTTTGTCGGTGGACTACCCCTGGAGTATGACAGCATCAAGTTCTCATCCTTGGCCTCTCCGGCCGTCATCCTAGAGCCCAGATTCCGAGGCTCTATACGGAATTTCTCCTACAGAAACTGTAATGGCGATATGGTCAGTCTTGCGCCGCTGGGCTCCAGTGGGATCCTAACACAGGATGTGGATCTGTGTGAGACCAAGAATCCCTGCCTCAACGGAGGCAGATGTCTGGCCACAGATCAGGGAGCAGCCTGTGATTGTTCCCTGCTGGAGTTCCACGGGCACTTTTGTGAAATCCGTAAGTACCTCAGTGTTTTAGACATTCATTTAAATCTATTTCTTGGTTTTGTTGCTTTAAACTATTTCGTTCTTAACTACAATTAACTTTTAATAAAAATAGTCGTAGACCATGAGGCAGACACAGAAGACGACGGAGAGATAATATCCAGACTGACCTACAAACACTTAGTGTCATCAAGTGATTAAATAAAAAAGGCGGCCAGAGATATATATGGAGGCAGGTGATATCTGCAGCAATGAACATCAAAGGTTCGGAATGTTGATAAAGAAGAAGAGAAATCTATACTGCTGGCAGTCTAATGATTTGACAGTTTTAACTTTTGACAGTATGAGCTCTTATTAGTCCTAATTTTTAACAGTCTTAACTCTTGGCAGTCTTAACGTTTGACAGTATTAACTCTTAACATATGTAAGGCTGTAAACTCTGGCAGTAAGTTCAGGTTGTTCGTCCACTTCTGGACTTCAGTCTTCTTCCATGATTTGAATTTTACCTGCATATGCGATTTCTTGTATGCATACTGTCGGTATCTCGCTGCTTAGGTAGATGAGCTCCGACTTAGGAGCAAAAAAAAAAAGCCCTAGTTTGTCGCATATTACAACATGTTTCCTAAGGAGGCAATGGGTCTATCCCCACCAGCCCCGCCCCCCCCCCAGCAGCCCCCACCCCCTTTTTCTCCCTAAAAATATGTCCACAAAACCCAATAGCGGGTTCTGTCGAAGCCAATTCACATCAATCTGCTGCCAAATCGCATGTAACTGTGATCGAACCCGTCATCTCGGAATTACAAGGCGTGTTTGCAATGCCTAAACCACTGATGCTGACTGTGATGAAGATACTATTTACATTATTATTCGCCAGACGGGTATAGCATCACCAATTCGGAGTGACCGAACTTCCCCGGGGGCTTCTGTTCATGATTAAAAACGGTCATCTGGAAATGGGCTCAACTTTCGCAATGGGCACTGGTCACTCAGTTCGATCTTGGACTAGGAAATGGGCAAGCCAATCAGATTCTGACTTTCTTTCTCTGTGTAGAAGATACGAGTCAGTTGGGGGGGGGGGGGGGGGGTGAAGTAGGACTGGAATAGGGACGGACGAACAAATAGATAAACAAACAGAAGGACGGATGGTCGGGTCGGACAAACGAAGAAACTGACTGAAATATGGGAAATATGGTCAGAATGACAAACGGAACCACTGACGGACAGTCAGGTGGATATATGAGCAGACATACAGCTGGATATACCCAGTCCCGTGCGGCAGATTTTCTCATTGTGATGCAAGTCTTCAAATTGCCGCCTCTAATGGCTACGAGATGTCAGATCAAAAGTTCAACTTTTCGTCGATTTCGCTGCTTATGTCGCCCCCCCCCCTCCCCCAATCCTCTACGGTGCCGCCGGATGTGGTCACTTTCATTATCAAAGCATGCACGGCCCTGGATATACACATACAGACGTATGTCTGTCAGACGTATGCACGAACAAACATGTGGACACAGAGAGACAGACAGACCAACTAAATGACATATCGCGGGATGGACAGACAGACATAACGTTAGCCATGTTGCCCAGCAGGTTCCGATTGGTCTGTAACAAAAATAAGGACCTACCCGCATATGCTGAGTGCTCCGATGGTGTGAAATAAGTCCTTTCAAAGACATCATATTGTTGACATACTCCAGACAAAGAGACAAATCTCAATTGACATCAGGTTCAGTTTTGCAACGACACCAGCTTTAGTTCTGTGACGACACCAGCTTCAGTTCTGTGACGACACCAGCTTTAGTTCTGTGACGATACCAGCTTTAGTTCTGTGACGGCACCAGCTTTAGTTCTGTGACGATACCAGCTTTAGTTCTGTGACGGCACCAGCTTTAGTTCTGTGACGGCACCAGCTTTAGTTCTGTGACGATACCAGCTTTAGTTCTGTGACGGCACCAGCTTTAGTTCTGTGACGATACCAGCTTTAGTTCTGTGACGATACCAGCTTTAGTTCTGTGACGATACCAGCTTTAGTTCTGTGACGACACTAGCTTTAGTTCTGTGACGATACCAGCTTTAGTTCTGTGACGATACCAGCTTTAGTTCTGTGACAACACTAGCTTTAGTTCTGTGACGATACCAGCTTTAGTTCTGTGACGACACTAGCTTTAGTTCTGTGACGATACCAGCTTTAGTTCTGTGACGATACCAGCTTTAGTTCTGTGACGACACTAGCTTTAGTTCTGTGACGATACCAGCTTTAGTTCTGTGACGACACTAGCTTTAGTTATGTGACGATACCAGCTTTAGTTCTGTGACGATACCAGCTTTAGTTCTGTGACGACACTAGCTTTAGTTCTGTGACGATACCAGCTTTAGTTCTGTGACGACACTAGCTTCAGTTATGTGACGACACCATCTTTCTTTTAGACTCGCACAGAAAACCTGCTGTCTCCGTGGCGGAGTGGTGAAATCGATTGCTTCATGCTCTGAAGGTCATGTGTTCGTTTCACCGACTGCTATTTTCTTTTACGACAGAGTGCGTGCTTTGTGCGACGCCTTAACCAGGCAGCTATCTATACTGCGACGAGAAACTGAGCCATATGAGAGAAACCTGGTGCAACGAAGACAACTATGTCAATTTTAAACATAAAGATCCCACTGTCGGTTCCGGAGCCAACATGGAAAGTGGGGGAGGTTGGGGGGGGGGGGGGGGGGGGGGGGGGGGGTACGCTCACTACCACTAAAAAAGGCATGTAGTGATTAGGGTTTTACATTAATCGACATATTCAGTGGGGTTAAGTTCCGACATCACAGCAGTTGCGACATTGACATAAGTGTCCCGGTCCTATCATCAGCAGCAGTCACAGAGCTCCAGATCCGTTTGTACCAGTAGCAGTCCGCTTGTACGTCCCACTGGACTTTCCCTAGAGTGTTGAATATCGACCAGATCCCTTGTCCTCTACCCGCTTCACAATTATCTTCAGTCAGCGACTTACTTTACTATATTCATTTTCTATGGCTCGCTAGGTAGGCCAGCTAACAGACTTCACTACCCTACGACACACTTAAGACACGCACCTGCTGAGTACAAACATAATCTTTAATGTACAACGAACAATACAACTAGTAACACCTCAACCAAGTTGGCAGTCCTTATCTGAAACGCCGGCGTTGAGCAGCTTTTACATTCACTGGTCAACCCGAGCTTTTCCCATGGATCCCCAAGGACACGATTCAAAACTAACAGTTTATCAGTGATGACTAAGCCGCCGTCTATTGCTACGCGGGACTCAGTGACACACGTAAGGTGTATGCCTAAGTGTGACTGGGCAGTGTTACCGCCATTAACAATGCGTCTCACCCATTCACTAGCTGCCTAACAAATACTGCGTGGAACGTCTACTATACAAGAAACATTAACTCTACGCTATCTCGTCGAAACATTAGAATGGAAACACAGCCTATCTAAAAAATACTAACCACAAACACTATTCAATCTAGCCGTCACTAAACTAATCTACGTTTACCTAGTCGAAGCGCTACGTCTCGTCCAGTCAAGTCCTCACTCCACAACTCTCCTCCAGCGAGCTCTGTACAAGCTTTTTGTTCCCCTCCCCCGTTCATCTCTCGACACGCGGTATAACGTGTTAACCGTGGGACCTGCCTTTAGCCAGTTAACTCGACCCAGTTTATTCCGTGGTCAAGCTGCCCGGTCTCACACTCAGTTTTACTGTGGGTCAGCTCATTCATTGTTGATGATTCACTATCATCAACTCCGTTCATCCCGTAGCAGAACTGGCCTCTGACACAGACCTTGATGATCTACTACTGCCTCTATATTGTCACTGCCCGCTTCACTTGGAGATCTACTTCTGTCTCCACATTGTTCACTGCCCGCTTCACATGGAGATCTACTTCTGTCTCCACATTGTTCACTGCCCGCTTCACTTGGAGATCTACTTGTGCCTCCACATTGTTCACTGACCGCTTCACTTGGAGATCTACTTCTGCCTCCACGCTGTTCACTGCCCGCTTCACTTGGAGATCTACTTCTGCCTCCACATTGTTCACTGCCCGCTTCACTTGGAGATCTACTTCTGCCTCCGCACTGTCACTGCCCGCTTCACTTGGAGATCTACTTCTGCCTCCACGCTGTCACTGCCCGCTTCACTTGGAGATCTACTTCTGCCTGCACACTGTCACTGCCCGCTTCACTTGGAGATCTACTTCTGCCTGCACACTGTCACTGCCCGCTTCACTTGGAGATCTACTTCTGCCTGCACACTGTCACTGCCCGCTTCACTTGGAGATCTACTTCTGCCTGCACACTGTCACTGCCCGCTTCACATGGAGATCTACTTCTGCCTCTACACTGTTCACTGCCCGCTTCACTTGGAGATCTACTTCTGCCTCCACGCTGTTCACTGCCCGCTTCACTTGGTGATCTACTTCTGCCTCTACATTGTCACTGCCCGCTTCACTTGGAGATCTACTTCTGCCTCCACGCTGTTCACTGCCCGCTTCACTTGGAGATCTACTTCTGCCTCCACGCTGTTCACTGCCCGCTTCACTTGGAGATCTACTTCTGCCTCCACGCTGTTCACTGCCCGCTTCACTTGGTGATCTACTTCTGCCTCAACGCTGTTCACTGCCCGCTTCACTTGGAGATCTACTTCTGCCTCCACGCT